TGAAATTTTTTTATTTGAAAACACTGAATCCAAATCACAAACAATGAGATTGGGCATAGGGAATTCAGTTGCAGAGAACACAGCATTCTTTTTTAATGGGTTTAGGCTCCTCAGGCTAATTTCAATGCATGTTAAAGGTTTAATTTGTGGAACAAGTAAATTTAAAGACAGTAAAGAAAATATTAGAATCGAATGCCAAGGTCTCAGAGTCTTTGAGAATCACATGTACGTTTGTCATCTACCTCAACTCACGACAGCCACGGTCATGCCTTAAACCTCCAAATCTAGAAATCACTCCAACTACAAGATTTCTAACTCTGAACATTTTCTCTTAACCTCTTACTTCTTTCATTTTTCCTGTTAAATGAGGTCAATTAAACATGTTCTTCACTTGTTGCGCATGGTGGCACTTGCCTGTTAATCCTAGTTACTTGGGAGACTGAGACGAGAGGATCCCTTAAGTCTGGGAGTTCAAATCCAATTGGGGCAACATAGGAAGAACCATCTACTAAAAAAGAAAAAATATATATGTCCTCTTCATATTTACTTTTTCTTTTTCTTTTTCTTTTTTTTTCTTTTTTTTTTTTTGAGACGGAGTCTTGCTCTGTCACCCGGGCTTGAGTGTAGTGGCGTGATTTCAGCTCATTGCACTCTCCGCCTCCTGGGTTCAAGTGATTCTCCTGCCTCATCCTCTCCAGTAGCTGGGATTACAGGTGCATGCCACCATGCCTGGCTAATTTTAGTAAGAGATGAGGTTTCACTATGTTGGTCAGGCTGTTCTCGAACTCCTGACCTCATGATCTGCCTGTTTTGGCCTCCCAAAGTGAGGTGTGAGCCACCGTGCCCAGCCTACTTTGACTCTTCGAGCCTACACTAATATTCTAAACCTGTGATTACTTGCCGTATGATTTTCATGTTCCCTTAGCTATGCATTTTGAGGAGCTTAAAATTGCTTGACCTTTTGATTGTCCTTTGTTACTAGCTGAATGTTTTGCCTTGGACAATGCCTTTAAGCCTGGCCTTGGCACTGGAATATCACTTTCTTGTTCAGACATGTGAACAAGGAAGGATACAACCAGATCTAACCAGACTAGGTTTAGGATATTTATCTTTCAAATTGAGGAACCCATTTAAGGGCAACATTAACATACAGAGGCTGCTTGTTATGTGATGCGGTTATGTCCCAATGAACCCATCGTAAGTTGAAAATGTCGTAAGGCAAAAATGCACGTAATACACCTAGCCTACCAAACCTCACAGCTTAGCCTAGCCTACCTTAAACGTGCTCAGAACACTTGCATTACCCTATAGTTGGGCAAAATAATCTAACCCCAAAACCTATCATAATAAGGTTATTATAAAGAATTTTACATCAAAAGTCAAAATTTGAAGTAAGGTTTGTAGTGAATTCTGGCTTTCACACTACTGGTAAGTTGAAAAATCCTGAGCCAAACGATTGTGAGTCAGGGACTGTCTGTATCTACTTTAAATCTTGGACAGTTAGGGAACAAGGAAAGAAAGAACAATAGTTGTCAGGGACTAGAGAAGCAGTTCAGTATACTCCTTCAGCACGGGGACACGTGGGGAATTTAGTTCTGGCACCAGTGGTCCTGCACAAATATTTATTGCTCACTTGCTACAGACAAGGCCTTATTCTAGGAATAGGAGATATGGCAGATGACAAAGTCCAGGACATCAAGGGATTCATATTCTAGAAGATTCATAACAAAATTATGCCATTCAGATGAAACTGCTCAATTCTTGAAGAATTTTATTTTCATAATTTCCCATGTTTACTGTTCAAAAATACAGTTGCCTCTTAAATACTCACTAGACTTTAGGCTTTTGAGAAATGTTATGGTATGATTTGCCCCCCTACATTTATCAGTTCCTTTGACTATTAGTTAAAAACACTTTTCTAGCTCTGGACTCTATATACACCTCCAGTTTCTTAGTTCTCGGGCACCAGGTGTGGGTCCATAGTGAGAAACTTCCTACTCTTCAACTGTGGGTGATCTCAGGGCCTTGCTTATGTTTTTGAAGTTATTTGCAGGGATAGAATTAGTTTTTATTTGTCATGTACAAAGTCCTTGCTTTCGGCAGTAGAGTTAACTAGTCCTTGGATCTATTTACTTCCCCAGGGCCTGTGAGAAAGAGTGATGTTTCCAGGACCTCTTTCCTGGGTTGTAAACAGAGCTGTTTTGTGCACCACTCTGAGCCTCCAGGGATGCCAAGCCAATGGAGAATAATTGATCAAGGCTGCCTGGAGAACTGTTTTGAGATGGATTCTGAGGCTCAGGCTGGGGCTCATCAGAAAAGAAAATTATGATTGATAAGTGAAATCTGCTGTGGGCAAGGAAGGGCAAACTTGTACTGTACATGCCAGGAATTTTCGAATCGGTATGTGACTCCCAAGAAAGGCTTGACCTTGTAGCTTCAATTTTAATCTCCACAGGTATAAGGATAATTCATTTTATTTTGAATAGAACACTCTAAAGACAACCTAAATAATCTAATACCCCTGCCCATTTCCTAAGAGGGTTGTGTTGATTTATTCCCAAATAGGATCATACTCAACCTGCGGTCATTGGTAGGTTATTTCTCTTAACACACATGTAAGAATAAAAGCTATTAATAGTTTGGTGATAAAGGGCATGAAACAAACACCGAGACCAGGAGTAGAAAAATGTTGCATATGTGATCTTGGTTACATTATGAGCAAATAAGCTGAAATATCTCCAGATGTAGTCTTGCTTAAATATGCCAGTTTTAAATAATTTACTTATATCATTTACATTTTGAAACATATTTTAAAAATACTTTGATAATGGGGTATCTTAATTCTTTGATGGGAAGGATTTTTTAAAGCTACACTCTTATTATCCTATATTTATGGAAAAAATGAACATTCAATGCAGAACACTTGCATGCACACATGCATGCACGCGTACGCATACACACACACACACACACACACACACACACACGCACACATTTTTTAAAAAAGGTACCGTGGCTGGGTGCGGTGGTTCACGCCTGTAATCCCAGCACTTTGGGAGGCCGAGGTGGGGGGATCATCTGAGGTCAGGAGTTTGAGACCAGCCTGACCAACATGGAGAGACCCCCATCTCTACTAAAATTACAAAAATTAGCTGGGCATGGTGGCACATACATGTAATCCCAGCTACTCAGGAGGCTGAGGCAGGAGAATCACTTGAACCTGGGAGGCAGAGGCTGTGGTGAGCTGAGATGGCGCCACTGCACTCCAGCCTAGGCAATAAAAGCAAAACTCCATCTCAAAAAAAAAAAAAAAAAGCCAGATAGGTACCTTTATGCATTTTGCTCTTCCCTTAGGGGTTCTTTTTCCAATCTAGAAAATATATCTGGATGTTTTTCAATTTAGAAAAAAAATACTGAAGTACACACGTTTTATTGTGTATGTGTTGACTGGGTCACAGGCTAAGATGTATTTCTAGTGGGCCATGGTAAATATAGTTTGAAAGTTACCATTCTGACCATACCCCTTCTCATAATCACAGAGCCTTAGAGGAGAGAACAGTTTCTTGCTGCGTACTGACTTGGCATATATCATCGGTCTCAGTCATGCCAGATCTATGCGCTGCTTTCTTTTCATAGTTCAAGTAAGGCTTTGGAGAAAGTGTGCGCAGCAGTAGTAGGCAAGGTCTGCACCACACACAGAAGCATAGCCAAAATGCATTCCACACACAGAGAAGCGCAACATCAGAGTTTGAGCATTTACTTTTAGGAATGCCCTAGGCTGTATCCACCTCTTTTTGCTCCGAGTGATGGTCACCAATGGCCCCCTCGAGCCCCAGTTCCTTGAACCACACATATAACTTATTACATGTCATGGTCATGTGTGACTCCAACCAGGTGGCAATAGCTCCAGCCATTTTCAGATTTTCTCTGCTTTCTAAAGGTAAGTGAGATCATAGCATGTTTTCACTAGTCAGTGATTTAGGTAGCCAGACGATATCTGGGAGTGACAATCACTAGATTTATAAATGCTATAAATCTGACCCAAAGAAATAAGGAAGTGACTGAGTCAGACGGTTAGGGAGCACTTGTCACTTTCCCAGCAGGGCCCAACCTACAGTCTCTTTTATATCTACAAGCTGGAGGTCAGGATCTGAGCTGACCCGGCTTGAAAGAAGAGGGACTTCCCGGGAGGCTCAGATAGTTCACTGGGTGCACCTGAGAGCTCACCATCTGTGGACTTGTTTTGTTATGAACATAAGTGGATACTTCACTGCCATGGTGGGGTAGCACATAAAGAGAAAAAACACACTTAGTAGGTTTAAGGAATGGGATGGGGTCAAATATAGTCATCCCTTGATATCTGCAAGAACTGGTTCCAGGACAACTTCCCCAAACCCCAACCTGCAGATACCATAATCTGTGGATGGGATACTTAAGTCCCTGATATAAAATGATGTGGTAGTGCATATAACCCATGTACACTCTCCTGTATATGTTAAATCATGTTTAGATTACTCGTAATACTCAATACAATACAAATGCTAAGTAAACAGTTGTTGTACTGTATTGTTTAGGAAATAATGACAAGAAAAATGTCTGTATGTGTTCAGTACAGATGCAACCATTCTTTTCTTTACAAATATTTTCATTCCATGATTGATTGAATCTATGAATGTGGAACCCACTGATAATGGAGGGCTGACTGTAATAAAACCAGCACCTAGCGTTGTATGAAAGGAGAGAAGGGTAGCACTTCCCTTGACAAGGATGGAAGAGGCCCCCCGGCCTGACAACACACATATGGTTAAAACCAGCACCTAATTCCTCAGTCACCTGGGAGGAAATGGGAATGGGGGCCTATTAAAAGGACCCCTTCTGTGGGACCCCAATGGCTACAGCCTGATACACAGGTGGTGATGTGAGATAAGTCTCAATGCTTTTTTTAATTTCCCACCCCCAATATTTACTAAGCTTCAGCAAACTATTTTTTTTTTTTTGGTTAAGTATCCATTTATTGACACGGGTAACATTTTCAGGGCAAATATAACATGCATTCTTTGGTAGTAAAATTTTTAAATTATAGATATATTTCTTTTATATATTATGAATATATTTCTAGTAATGAATATATAACTGGTCTTCAGAAACTGAAGATGGAAATACGGCTGACCCTCAACTTCCAGTTAAGCAGAAAGTAATGACAAGTGCCAAAAATGCCACAGTCACGTGGGCCATTGCTCCTCATTCTCTACAGACAACCTGAGTGTTACACTGTCATAGCACCAAGGAGAAAATAGCTGCTGGTCACTTTTCTTATAGCAACATAAGGATTTGTGTACATAAAACATGTTGGACAGGTCCTTCTTCAATCACGGTTTGTATGTCAATTGTTGGTTTTATAAAACAGAGAAAAGTGGAAAGAAGATAGAATATGGTCTCTTTACAAAAGAAAGGTGAATACATTTTGAGGCACCAGGTTGTTTAGGCTAAGTCAGAAACTGTGTGTATTATCAGTCCTATGACTGCTAAGTGTCAGTATTCAGAATCTCAGTGTGGGGAAGAACCTCAGACACCATCAGTCCAACTGCTTCCATTTTGCAGGTAAGGAAAGGTGTCTGGAAACGCAGACCGGGAGGAGAGCGCAGGCTTTGGAGTTAGGCTCCTTAGTATGTGATGTTCATGGATCCCACAGACAAACTCATTTTCTGGTCATGTGAATTCACGTCTGGTCTTCAAACCAACAATTTTCAGTCTAAGGTATGCTAGATAGTGATTCAATTTTTATGCTTAAGTTTCCTCTGCACAACTTTTTCCATCTAGGTTGTGATGATGGGACTGTCAGCCCCCTACGCTTTTGCTGACTTATTTTGAATTTGGGGGTTAATGTGTGAGTAGGGCTCCATGAACCATCATTTACCCTTCACATCGTTTCTCTTTTTACCTATTCCTTACATAACTACCTATTTTAAAATTTAACAATTAGGTCAATTATTAACTTCATCATGTTAAGATGTTAATAAAAAATTATGTTAGGAATTAGGTAAATGATTCTTGATTGATTTAAAAAAGACAATACCAAAGACAGCAATAAGGTCAGAGTGACCTGGTTCACCTCTAACACCCCAATCTGAAAGGAATTTTTTTTTTTCAAGCAAAAGGTAATGTATATAGAAAATGAAAACTAAAAGATACTCAGAGGTAGCCCTTGTCGTTAGACATTTAAGGATGTTCTAGACTCCAAGAGGAACCCCAACAGAATTTTCTCTGCTTCAAATTAAAAACAATTTTCCTGAATGATTAATAACATAAGAATAATAATCAGTACTGAATTGTATAGTGGAATGATCCCCAGTAGGTTCCAACTGTTAGTTTATCTGCTTTCTTAGCATGTATCTTTCCCACCACTATAAAATTGACGTCTGTTATTTATGTTACCTGTATTATCTAAACCCTAGTATCTTTAAACCCATGGACTTCCCCTAGAAGGGTTTAGATTTCTGCAAACCCAGGTGAATCGTTCTTATTGAGCAATGAACTGTTGACAAATGAGGTGAGGCAGAGGCATGCTTATGGGCGCCAGTTGACAGGTTGGTTTTTGATGGCCATGGTCCAGAGGAGTGGGTGGTCAGTTTCCACAGTCACAACACCAGACCCGTCGTACGTATTGGAAGTACTGACCAGTGTTCCAAAAGCAAGCACATCATTTGCTGTAAGAAAATAAGGGAAAAAAAATTAGTAACTATTTTTTTTTCTTCCTCCAGTGTAGATTAACTTTGTCACTTACCAAAAAGCAAGTAAGCACATACTTTGATAAAAAAAAAAAAAAAATATATATATATATATATAAAAATGTGGGATAGGTGGAATATATGATGTACAGATTGAAAATGGTAAATTTCTACAACTTGCTGTAAATGTTCTTCCTGGAATTGGTTATTGGTTACTTACCATTTTGGGTTATATATCATTTTCAATATTAAATTTTATTAAAATCTTTTTCTTTTTTACAACTGTAAAACCAAAACCCATATTTGTAATGTGCTACTTCCTTGCCTGAGTAAAATTTTAGTTTCTATTAATAATTCAGAATTAAGATTTAATATACGTTATTAAGCTCTATAAAGATATAGTTTTAGCTTCAAGTATAAATGACACGAGACAGACAGCAAATTACCTAAAAAAAAAAAAAAGCATGTGATTTTGGTCATTGTTTTCTCATGAAGTTAAAAAAATCCAAAGCAAATGTGGCTTACTTTCTGGAAAATTAACAGAAATGTAGAGGTCAAAGCCAATTTTCAAATATGTAATCTTAAGCAAGTGACTTAAGCTCAGCTATAAAGTAAGGGCAAGAGATGAGATAATCCTTTAAACTACTTATCAGAGTAAAAGGTTTATAAATTAAGATTAGAATTTATGTATTTATACATTTCAATTATATATACATATAAATATATTTTTAATTTTTCTAACAAGTTAAGGCCTAGGCACAAATTGGTAACTTCACTTCCAGTTCGCTTACCCAGGAGCAATTCACTTAATCAACATGACCCTAAACTCACAGCTGTCCTATAGGCATTCCTTGGTAATCAATATTATTTTCTTTACCAAAATTCAGAGAGAAAACTGAACAAATGTTACAGAGCCAAAATTACCAGAGTCAGAAGAGGCCCCTTTTCCTTCAGACAAAAACCTGTGAAGTTATTTGGAGGAAATAAATCAATTACCATGCTCACTTCCCACTAGAGGGAGCCTCCTATCTTTCTGAGGAAATCTTGAAAAGGCAATTTAAAAATTCAGGAATGGTACTGCAAGATAATGTATCATTAGTATTAGCAGTTCACACAGTTTATTTACTAAAACTCAAACTATTTTTCATAGTTACTAACGTTTTTACTAATGCAAACATAAAAGTAAAGGTACACAGGAATACAGAGTGAATCTCATGTGAATATTGCCGAGATACGAACTTCAATAGAAGAAGCTCTTAACTCTTGAGTCATTTGGGACTTCCGTGAGATGATGTTTCTGAACACTGGTGATATACACATAAATATGTATGGATATAGACATTGTTACATAGTTGGTAGAGTAGGGTGGTGATCTTGGAGGGATTCACAGCAAAGTCAATTGAAATCTCTATGTCTCCTGAATGGTGGTCTTGCCTGGAATGTGGGTGCTTCCCAAGTCGCTTACTGAGACCTATGCCAGGCCTAGGGCTTCAAGGTTTTCCCAACAGCCCAGAGGGAGGGATTCAGGGAGCACTTCACACCCCTGCACTGTGAAGGCAATCTCGAGTGCGTCAGTAGGTCGGCCAACTTTAAAGTGGAAAATCCCTCATGAGGAACCGTGCATACACAACCCCGCTTGAATTTGACACATACATTACATGATTCTAGAAACTATTAAAATCCTAGTTTTTACTTACGCCCAAAGAACAGGAGTACAAAATTGTTTTTCAAGTTTATAGCTGCATATAAATTCCTTTCTGATTTTTGAAGCCAGACTATGGATTTCAGAATTTCAGGAGTAGCTACCTAGATAATACATATTGGGTTTGCTAAGATACAGTTGTAACCTAATTAATTTCAAATGGGAAGATAATCAAAGTGGTTGTATTTGAGCATAAGAAGATGCAATTTTTTTTGAAGGAAACTTTTTTTTTTGAGTTTAGCTGTACTTGTAAATTTATGTTTTTATTTTATTTTATAATATTTAAAGTTCCAACAAGACCAGTTGCCAGACAGTTACAATTTAAAGATAACAATTAAGTAGTTTTGATTATCTCTAATTTTATAGAAAGTATAATAAAAATCATGGAAAACTAAGATGAGTAACTTGAGAGACGTCACTACAATTACTTTGGAATATATTTTCTGTTCTTTTTTTCTTTTTTTGAGATGGTGTCTTGCTCTTGTCGCCCAGGCTGGAGTGCAGTGGTGTGATCTTGGCTCAGTGAAACCTCTGCCTCCCAGGTTCAAGCAATTCTCCTGCTTCAGCCTCCCGAGTAGCTGGGATTACAGGCACATGCCTCTGCGCCTGGCTAATCTTTTGTATTTTAGGAGAGATGGGGTTTCACCATGTTGCCTAGGCTGTTCTTGATCTCCTGAGCTCAGGCAATCCACCCACCTTGGCCTCCCAAAGTACTGGGATTATAGGTAGGAGCCACTATGCCTGGCCTGGAATATATTTTCTTCAAGTCAAAGAATCATATTTTTGGACAAAACCTGAAGGTGTCCCTTAGAAGAACAAAAATTTTTAAGGAAAATATTTGGAATTATGATGAACTCCCTCTACCCCAAGTATCTGAAGGTCAATCATGACATAAGTACATGAAACCAGTCAAGAGACAACTGTGTACAGACAGGAGAAAAACAAATCACCTCTCCATTTCTACCCCGGAGGATTTGTCCAAAACTTTGGCTGGCTGAGCTATAGAAAGTCTGACTTGGATTTTTTACCCCTTTGTTTGCAGAGTACAGCCAACCATAGTTGTTGAAAGACAACTAATCATCAGATCAGATCAAGTCATCAAGTCCCACCTCCTCTGCCTTTTTTTTATTTTTTATTTTTTTATTTTAAGACAGAGTCTCACTCTGCTGCCCAGGCTGGAGTGTAGTGGCACGATCTCGGCTCACTGCAACCTCCACCTCCCAGGTTCAAGTGATTCTTCTGCTTTGGCCTTCTGAGTAGCTGGGACTACAGGTGCATGCCACCATGTCCGACTTTTTTTTTTTTTTTTTTTTTTTTGTATTTTTAGTAGAGATGGGATTCCACCATATTGGCCAGGCTGGTCTTGAACTCCTGACTTCGTGATCTGCCCACCTCAGCCTCCCAAAGTGCCAGGATTACAGGCATGAGCCACTGTGCCTGGCCTCAAGTCCCGTTTTTAAGAAAAGGCAAAAATAAATTACAGATCTATGTGCAAGCTTATAAGCAGCTATATTTTGTGTGACAAAACATTATCATAGATTTTACAATTTTCATCCATTATCTTAGACTGTTTTCTTTCTCAAAGGTAAAAATGAGAATTAGCACTTAGTGTTCTATTGTTTTCAGTGATGTCCTCTCAGCTTTTTTGAAAAGCTGGAAAGACAGAGGACTACAAAGCAAGAGCTGGTAAATTGGTGTATACCAATTATTCAACTCTTTGCTTTTCTTTCCCCCTTTTTTTTTTGAGATGGAATCTAGCTCTGTTGCCCAGGCTGGAGTGCAGTGGTGCACTTTTGGCTCACTGCAACCTCTGCTTCCTGGGTTCAAGTGATTCTCCTGCCTCAGCATCCTGAGTAGATGGAAATACAGGTGCTTGCCACCAATGCCCAGCTAATTTTTGTATTTTTAGTAGAGATGGAGTTTCATTTGTTGGCCAGGGTGGTCTCAACTCCTGACCTTGTGATCTGCCCGCCTCGGCCTCCCAAAGTGCTGAGATTACAAGCATGAGCCACAGCGCCCAGCCTATTCAACTCTTCTTAGTTAGTGGGGCCATTTGCCCCTGGTTTCTTGCCCATCTTTCCTCCACAGGCGACATTAGTGAACTGTGGCCTCTTGGTTGGAGCTGGAAGCATGAAGGAGTGTTTTGCTAGGCCTCGGATGCTTTTAGCACTGAGAAGCAACAGTGGGAAGCATTCATTCTCTGTGCACCTGCATAACTTTTCTGCCCAGGTGCTTTTATAGAAAAAGCCTCTCTATCAAAGAGCATGACTCCATCATGGTGAAGTTAGTAAGTCAGACAGGTTCAAACCCCGGCTCTAGCATTCACCAGCTTTACTAACTCAGTTATTTAAACTCTTTGGGCCTTGTGTCATCAGCAGTAAAAATGTAGAAAATATCTACTTCACAGGGACATTGTATGGATTATATGGCCAATCTAATATACGATACATATTCAATTTCCATCTTCTCTGCTTTCTCCTGTTATCCTGCCAATAAAATAGATTTGGTTTGTCTTTTAACGTTAACAAAAAGATGTCATGATTTGAACAATTAGCAAAGGCCTGAATTCAAGTGATTAGTTTATAGGCAGCTGAGAATAGAATGAGGTACTTTCGTAACTTTTCCAGGCTAGTTTTTGTGAAATACTTTTTTCAGTTGATTCCTTGGCCTGCATGTATGTAGGCATTTCTTTAATAGATATTAAAGTCTCACTCTGTGCCAGGCACTAAGGTTTAAGGATGAGTGTCTCTGCCCTCAGGGTCCTAACATTTTGGTAAAAGAGAAAGATGCATTTACAATCAAACCCAGCAGACAGGAGAGAAGCATGAGGCAGGATAAAGAGGGCAGAGGTGCCTTCCTGGCAGCCAGGATGGGTTGTATATTCAAGAGGGAGGGGAATTCTTTGACAGTGGGGGGCCACTGGCATCCCTAGAGGCCTACCTCATGGTCTGGCTTCCCAAGAATCTGTAGATCAACACTGATTCTTTGGTAAAGTAAATAACATTATTTAAGAAGGCAATGGGAACATTTCTAAAATCAATAAATCCTGAGGGCAAGATAGAGTGAACTAGCTTTGCCTGGTGCTATTTGAGATGGGCATAGTCCTCATTCATTTAAGAAGTCATCGGAGACCTTGCAGTACACCAGGCACTCGGGGCATAGCGGGTTTTATGTTCAATTTATAGATGAGGAAAATGAAGCTCACAGAGGCTACAATCACAGGCTATGATGATAATAAAAGTTCTCAGACAGACACTAGCAAGTGAGTAAGCGAGGT